AGAAACTAATTTCTTTATACGTATGACGATATTTCGTTTATAGTCAGTGTAAAAATAAAAAAAATTAAAATTATGACCAACACCCGACTTTAAGATACCTCAAATTCGATTTTGCAGTTTTTTTTAAATCGTTTGTAGATATTTATAGTGATTTTCATTTCGTTTGATGATACACCGTTTCAAAATTACAATCGTTTAAAAAAATCTTTTTTAATTGACAAAACCAACAAATGAAATGAAGAAACAAAATGAGATGCCAACTTCATACTTAACTTACAAATATGTTAAGTGAAGTAGAATTTATTTTAAAGAAATAGTATTTTATTTTGGTAATTTATTTTGCAGAAATGGTTATAAGTAAACTCATTATTTTGTTTTTTTTTTGTAAGAAGAAAAATATTTAAGACATTACAATTGAGAACATGTCGGAACTCCAAAAGTTTTAGAATTATAATCATATCAAAATTGAAGTATTTTTGAAAATTAGTGTTAAAAAAAGATAATTAGATATATTTATCAATATTAAGATTCAATATCTTTTAATAAATAATTTTATTTGAACATAAATTATACAAGTATATCAAGTGATTTTACGCGAATAGCGGGACACGAGAGGGAAAGAGATCTTCAGAAATATTTAAGAAAAATCTTTCAATGCCTAAAAAGCGACTAAAACGTGCTATATCAAGTTTATTTTGATACGAAATTCGATCAATACTTATATTTATATTGCTTTAGCAACATAAATATTGAAATAAATATTTTGATTCACATTTCCACGATTCTTCTTCTCCGGTCTCTGTATATTCTGGATTCTTCGCCGGTACCATATCCATTTTGTCTGTAAGAGACCAATCTCTTCGTCCGGGAACTAGTCTCGTAAAAACACTTTGAAACACTCGCGTTACTTTTTTTTCGTTCGCGACTTGCGGCGACGCCCGGATTTTAGGTAGCATATTTTCGACGCGCTTCGATACGCGAGAATATACGAGCGCTTATTCACGCGGGAATAAAACCGAGGCTCCGTTTTCACGTCACCACTTTTTTCAAGGTCCTATTATCGAAGGGCCTTTTCGAACGACGATGGCGACTTTCTCGCCACGCATTCAAGAGAGAGCCACTGATATTCCCGAACTTCACTATATTTTATATTTTAATTATTCCAAAATTGATTACTACACTTCACTATATTTTATCTTTCACTGAACATTCGGCGAAGAAATCGCGAATATCGCGTACGAACATCGCCGATTATTTATCAGAGCGTATTTCTACTACCGGAAATTTTTTAATTACATATTAAAAGGTTGAATGAGCTCCTAAAAGTAACGGCTCTTTTTTGTTATATTCTAAATCTGAAATTATATCTTTCTCTAAATATTTTAATGTAATTAAAATTTTTGTTTAATTGTGTTGTTATAAAACTTGTTTGAAAAGTACTTTTAAAAGCACGTTACTAACTTACATTATTAGGCAGCTAATAATTTAGTCATTTTAGTTATACTGCCTGCTCTTTCAACTTTAATATTTATTTTTCAAAAGCATAAATATTTACGCAAACATTTTAACAACTTTATTAAATATATACATGTGTTAAATATTCAAAAGATATGTGCTTAGATGTATTACATACTTTACTCAACATACATATTTTACTCAACAATTACAATACTTGCTTCTATCCGCTAATTATAAAAATTTCAGCGCTAAAAAATGCGGTATTTTGTTTAATTAATTTTACTATTAGAAACAGAGAGCTAGAAAGATTGCTTTCATGTTTTTCGGAATAAATGATATAAATTTATAAGTAGTGCATAATTTATTTGATTAATTGCACGAAATTTGAATATGTTTAATTAAGACAACTGTTAAACACAAATGCCGACATACACACAAATATATACATATATATATATATATATATATATATATATATATATATATACAGGGTGTCCGGTAACTAACGGACCAACGATTACAAATGGATTCTTTGGTCAATTTGGGAACGATTTTTTTTTAGCGAAAATGTCGAAAAAGGTCAATAATTTACAACTTTCCAATATTTGTCATTATGTATCTTTATAATTAAACCTCAAATTAAGATTTTATTATATAAACTTTATCTGAAATTAACTGAAGAATGTAATTATGTTAGACTTTTAACTCCAAAACGTTTAATTTTCAAAGACTCATTTTGACAATCGGAAACGCGAAAAAATATTGACTTCTCAACATTTTTGCTAAGGAAAAATCGTCTCCAATTTGGCCAGAGAATCTGCCTTTAATCATTGGTCCGTTAGTTACCGGACACCCTGTATATACATATATACAGGGTGTTTGATAACATATATATAACGATGTCAGAAGTGATTGTTGACCTATCATATTTATACGTATATAAGAATGACACAGTCAGTCTTCTGTATCTTATCGAATGTATCTTGGTAGATATAACGATGTAACAAAGTGTGTGTGAACATTTTATATATTCGTCACAGTGCATTTGACGGCGACTCTATCGATGTACATAACGCAAAATATCAATATATTGCATTTAACATTCGCCCGAAATGCGAAGTTTAAAATATTTATAATTAATAAACAAATTCTCGGACGCAATTTTGTCATTTTTGATTATTGTCATTTTATCATGTAGTATAACAATTTTAAATTTCCAACATTTAAACATAAAAGAAAAGTTTATTCAAAATTATCTTTAAATTTAAATACAAGATATAATTTCAAATAATATCATATAAATTATGCAGTATTTATAAATTTATATCACTTATTCCAAAAACATTAAAGCAATCTTTCCAGCTTCTGTATCTAATAGTAAAATTTAATAACAAAATGCCGCATTTTAAAACGCTAAAATTTTTTAATTAGCGATAGAAAATTATTTTAAAATTTGTCGTTCTTTTTATTTTTTACAAAAAAAATAAAAATAAAGTTGCCGTTAATATACAAATTTAATAATTATATTATTAATTTAAAATTAGTATAAAATATAAAAATATAATTGTCAATCGAATGCGAAATTCGCGATATTGTCGAATTTAAGCAAAGTAAACGCTATTTTGAGGTTTTCAATTTTAAGTGAAATATCATGTATAAAAAATCCATTTTTGGAATATAGAATATAGTGTAATTCGAAAAATAGTGGCTTTGAGTCATTTGAAATCCATCGTCGTTCGAGAAAATGCCCTCCGATACAATCATTATTTGCATGGTGACAAATTTCCAGCATGTATCTATTGTAATTAAATAAACTAATATAATCTCGCTATTTGAAACGCGTCGATAAATGTGTTACTGTTAATTTTATTTCGCAAAGTCGCAGCGAAAAAAAGTTTTTTCAATGCTTTAAAGTGAAATTTATGGTATAGTTGACATTTCGCTAGAGGAAAAATCGTCTGAAATAATCCAATATTGATAAAAGAATCTTCGCAAGTTCAGGGAATCTGAATATATGAATTATGTTAAATTATTAATATTATTATTAAGTTTATAATGATATAATTTAAAATTAAATTATGTGGCTTAAACTCGCGAATGTTCGTTTAGTGTTTTTACAAGTTTAATAAAGAAATAAAAAACAAATCGGCATAAAATAAACTGTATATAATCTTCTCGAGGCCGAAGCCAGTGTGACAATCCGCACGATCGGCCGATTTTTGAGTACACACAGGTATATATGTTGTGAAAATGGTCGTGTGAAAAAGAATTTACTTCAAAATAACATCATGTGCTATAAATCCTTTGTTCAAAATATTTGAAATAAGTAAATAATTTTTAAACAATGAAATTAATTTTTAAAATAAATAAATCATATTGTAAGTTTAAATTGAATCAGGTTAGTCAAATAAAATATGTGCGTGAAATACAATTTGTTATTATTTTATTACGATTGTGCAAATTGAAAGGGACCTTTTTTCCTCATGTGCATATAAAGATTTTTGCGCGTTGCACAAAATAAGTAAATACCATTTTTATTTTGTAAATTTTCTTATTAAATATATACATTAAACAAACTTTAAATATAATCAGGTTAGTATTTAATTTATATCCGTAAATCTTTTGTTTTATTGTTTTACATATGTAACAATATTATTCACCTTTTTGCGTCTAGAATTAAATTTTTAAAAGATATTTTTTATTTTTTATTATATTTATATATATATATATATTATTAAAATAATTTATTTTAAATAACAATGTAGTGTACTATTTTATTTGTAATATTTCTCTTTATAAATTTGATTTTTATTTTTTTTATTTTTTCTATTCGCCAGGTAAATTAATGATAGACTCGCATATCCAGTTTACTAAAAAATGTCTCGATAAAGTTATATAAAGATGACGCCAAAGAAAAATTTTGGTTTTAGTTCACATTTTATATATGAAAAATCAATGATATATTTAATTACCAAAAATGATTTTGAGAAGCGTCTAAGAGACTTTCTTTGTCTATCAGATTTTATAACATTATCAAAATATATTTAAACATAAATATAATTATTAATATCGCTTTATCACATTTTGTATATATATTATAAAACATGTAATATTTTTACCATTGTTTGATTTACGGAATATACGTTATAATATATATAATGCTGCAATTAATATATAACATAAAATACATAATAAACAAATATATAATATATATATATAAAATATAATTCATATTATTTTGTACAAAATGTTTAAAAATATTATCTAAAACAAAATTATCTAAAATGTAATCCAGGATAATTTATTTTTTGCATGCTTCATAATAATATGTAAAAAATTGTTAAGAAGATATTGATATTGTTGTTGTGTAGTATATTTATCATTTAAATAGATAGTAATTATATTATTAGATTTATATTCTAAATAGTCAGTAATTATTTTAGTATCTTCAGTACAAGCTAAGAATTCTGTAAATTTAGTGTCAGATTCTTCGAATCCTATAGCATATACTGATAGCTAAGTGAACATTTCTTTGGTTATCATCAAACCTTTACAATATGTCCATTTCTTTTACCATGGCAAAAGACCGAAATAAAAAAAAATTAAATTTTCTTATTAAAAATTAGCATATATGGACGTCTTGATCAAATTATTTAAACATTATAGACGATATCTACAAGAATGATTAAGAAAGGCTAAAAATATATAACAATATTTACTTGTGGTTTGTGGAATTTTGGAACTGTTGTTTTAATTTATTGTTGGCTTCTGTCTTACATTCGGAGTCGCCGAGAAAACATGCCCATCTTACAGCTTCTTGTCTTAAACATTTTCTAAGGTCGTTACTATCATCAATTCCTTCATATTTGATTTTTTTATGTACCTCGTTTAATGCATGGTTTATGTAATTCTAAAAATCGTTAAATATATATTTCTTTGTTTATATTATAAATGTATTTAAAAATTATTAAAATCTCAAAAGATTAAAATAAAGTTGTGAATAAAATTATAAATAATTTATTAAAGTTTGATCAAACTGGCCAATACAAATTGTATTACCCATAACGTTTTGGCACTTAGGTACGAGCCTTTATCAAGTAATGCTTTCAAGATGTTAAAATGAAAGACATGATATTGAATAATATACTTGATAAGGGCTCGTATCCAAAGGCCGAAACGTTGTGTGTAATACGATTTGTATTGGCCATTTTATAAAAAAAATTCTATGTGTATTTGAAAAGAGACTCAAAATTGGTGACATATAAATGAATTCTTTTTTAATAGCTTGTGCTGTCTGGATTGGAACCGTTCTGTGGGCGAGTGATTATTCAAACTGAATTTTTTTGCACATTTGTTTGCGACGTATAATAATATGTAAAATTTTATCGTTGGGGTATATATTTTTGTTATTTAAACAGTTTGTAGTTAATTTGTGTATATGCAAATATCTGAAATATAATGATTTTATTGAAATTTATTAATATTTACTTTAAATGTATCCACATATTATCTTCCAGCATGCCTACAGGAAAAGTACTAAATAGATATTCCACAGCTTTAAACATAGAATACCATACTATATAATTTTCTTCTCGATGCAAATACGATATTATATCTATAAATACAAGGAATTTGAGTTGGCCTGCTATCATTAAATGAAATGCATCATCGATAATTTGGGCACAATTAAGAACATGAATTTTCGTGTAATCATCATTTGTTTAGATAATTTAAAATTCAATATAAAAAAACTATTAATCTCGGCTCGAATTATTGTGTTACAATAATTTAAAATTCTTCGCTAATTCTCACCATCATAGTTAACGCGATAATATCCTGTCGAACAGTAAATAAATTTGATCAATTTTTATTGTTTTGAATAATTTTATCATTAATATACTTATTTTGAAACTTATTTCAATTTTTATTTTATACTTTTGTTTATATAAATTAAAAATTAAAAACGCATATCAAAAATTTAATACATATAAATAAAATGTAAATACATATAGAAAATTAATTATAAAAATGTCGTTTTAATACTTGAAATAGTACAAAAATGAAACTGTGCAAGATATTGTTGTACAAAATAATATAAAATTAATTCCCCATTTGTGCATAAATAATAACTATTTTTAACTAGCCAATATGATTTCTGTAACGTGTAACGTGACGAAAATTGTATGTTACCTGCACTTATTATTATTAATTTTATAAATATAATTATTTTTTAAATAATTTTTACTATTATTAGAATAAAATATTTCTAAAAAGATAACATTAATATTGAATAATATTATTTAAGAAACATCTAGTATATTTTTCATTTATGTGTTCTTTAAGTATTGTCAAATATATTTCATTTTCTTCTCTCGACCGTACTGGCAAATATTATTTATTCAATCACTACGTTTCGACCCTTCTTTGAGTCCTTATCAAGTGATCTAGATACACATAGACAGAGATTAATACAATAAAAAAAACAAAATTACTTTACTAACAATATTACAAAATGATAAAAAAAGAAGCAAAACATACTTGTAAAAATAAGAATAAAATTATAATTTTAAGATGTCAAGAACGAACATAGTGTCGGTTTGACAACACGTCAAGACTCTTAGATGAGTTATTGGAGACTAAACGACCTTTATTATTTTGTCGTAGATATTACTTACATTGTCGGTATCCTTTTGTAAATTAATAGCGTTATTATTTCCTTTAATAAAAAACATTTCTGCGATTTTTCTTTTCTTACGTGCTTTTCATTATGCAAAATAACAGGCGAAGTCCAGTCAAAATCGTGATCGAATTCAATTTTATGTTTGCTGATAACTGATAAATTACTCGAATGCATTTTGATGTTGCTGAAATGTTCCTTTACACGTGTACAAAGATGTCTTTTTGTTTGTCCGATGTATGACACGTTGCAATCCTTACAATTAATTTTGTAAACTACTTCAGTTTTTTTATCTGTAGGCAGTCTATCCTTGCGGAGTGCAATTAAATGGTTCGGTTTTTTAGGAAAATTATGAACAACATTAAATTCGATATTTTTAAAAATTCGATCGATATCGCCTAAGCTATTAACATAAGGAAGTAAAACGAAAGGAGACTTATCAACAATATTTCGCATAATAATGATATATGGAAAAATATGCTTTAATTTATGCGAAATATTTATAATATTTAAAGATATAATTAAAGCATATTTGTTTGCGACGTATAATAATATGTAAAATTTTATCGTTGCGGTATTTTTTTGAATATTTAAATTTTTTGTAACTAATAAGTGTATATATATATATATGCAAATATCTGAAATATATCACTTTTATTAATATTTATTAATGTTTACCTTAAAATTCCACAATTTATCTTCCAGCATAGCTACAGAAAAAGTGCTAAATATGTATTCCAGAGCTTTAAACATAGAATACCATGCTATATAATCTTCTTCTCGATGCAAATACGATATTATATCTGCGAATACAAGGAATTTGAGTTCTCCTGCTATCATTAAATGAAATGCATCATCGATAATTTGGGCACGATTAAGAACATGAATTTTCGTGTAATTATCTGATTTTAAATAACTTGAAATTCTTCGCCAATTCTCATCATCATAGTTAACGCGATAATATCCTGTCGAATAGTAAATAAATTTTATCAATTTTTATTGTTTTGAATAATTTTATCAGAATATATTTTCAAATATTTTTGTTTCATAATTTTATTTATATAAATTATAAATGAAAAACGTACCATAAATTTAATATAAATAAAATGATAATATATATAGAAAATAAATTATAAAAATGTCATTTTAATACTTCAAATAGTGGAAAAAATGAAACTGTGCAAGATATTGTTGCATATCATAAAATAAAATTAATTTTAGAAATATAATTATCCTTTTAATAATTTTTCTTATTATTAGAATAAAATATATTTGTAAAAATATAACATTAATATTGAATGATATTATTTATAGAAAACATCTACGTACATTTTATATATAATATTATGGACATAATAATGCAGAATATGACAAAAAGCATTTTATAACTATTACAGTCATTTAATGAATATTTCAGATTTTTATAGGACAATGAATAAAATAGATAAAAATATAAAACAATATCAATTATGTGTGTGTAAAATAAAAACGAGTAATATGTCATAATAAGTCCATTGGTCGATATTTACCAATTTGTTGTATATTGAATATAATCCAACCATCCTCTTTAAATGGTAATGATAATTTTAAATCCTTTGACACGCATACCATATGATGAGTAAAATTGTTAAAATCGGGATACTTTTCCGTAGTAAAAATTACAGAAAGGCAGTCAATTTTTAATGTGTCGATATATTGTATCGATACATTTACTTCGCTCATATCCTTATAATTTCGTATTATTTTTATGATAGGACAACGTCTTTCTATTTTCCAATAATTCATTATTTGTAGATGAATCAGTATCTGGTTATTCTGCAGCAGCAACAATTTCTTTCCAAATATTCACAATACTTTGACGATATGATTGGCTAAATTTACACAGTATGTAAAATATATAAAGGAAACACGAGAAATATGTTAAAATTGTCTGTATATAATGTTAATATTATAAAAAATTATAATAAATACTAAGAAGCATAATATAAAATTGCACTTCTATTTATATATTTATATATCTTGTATTTATATTATGATAATAAATAATATAACATAATTTTAAATCAAATTTAATAATTTTATTATTAGCATTATTAGCATTAATATAGATTAAATTTTAGCAAAGTATTGAAAGAATTATAAAATGGTTAAAAGAAGAAAAAAAAACAAATAAAAAGTTGAAAACAAAACAAAAACAAGAAAAATAATATAAAGAAGATCGATTTACGAAAATAGAGAAGTAATGGAAAATAGATATAAGCAGTGTTAGATATTTAAAAAGCTGTTAAATAAGATGAAAAACAAACGTAGCACAAAATGCAATTAAAAGAAAAAAGATTATAAGAATTATAGACGATATAAAGGAAATAATAATAAGAATAAAAATTATTTTAAAAAATATCAAATCACGAAATAAAAAGAAAACAACAGTGTAATTGTATATGAAAAAGTGACAACGATAAAACCACAATTTCTTATTACGGAAATGGTTTTCATAGGAAAAGTGATAAAATTAAAATTAATCTAGTAGTAGATCTAAGAATAAGGCGGAATTGTTAAACTAAAAAAAATTTTATTGTTGGAAGCAAGATGGTTACAACAACATAACAGATTACTGTAGGTTTATTAGGAATAGACACCTATAGAGTTCTTTTTAATTTCGAGAACTATGACGTTTCCACGCTTTCTAACGATGGAAGTAAAAAAGGTTCTTCACGTCTAAGACCGTATTATGAATTCCACGAAATAATGCATCTACATAATTTACAGATACAACTATCCATTTTAGGTTGACATTTAATAAATTTATATATAATTGATTTAAACATTGAAGAAGACTGCGTACAGTTGTAACATCTGTTTACCTTTGTAATATCAACTTTGTTTATAATCTCAGAAATAAATATTTTTATCGGCTCTCAATATAAATAATATAAGTATGCTGTCTTCTAAGCTGGGCAATAGAGCCAAGGAAACGAAACGAAAAATTAATTAAACGGAACTGTATCTCAATTTGAGATCCCAAAGTTCCACATATAAATTAATTTCGAAACTTACATATGGAGAAATAAGCGAGAAAAATATAGGTCCGAAAAGTCGCTGAAGCGATTTCTATTGCCCAGAAGACAGCATACTTACAGCATTATTTGTTTATAATGTTTGGATGTAATTAAATATGTTTTAAGTTTTCAATTATTATTTTTTACGTGAACATCTTTGTAATTTATGCACGATGGTTGACTTTATCAACACATTAAAATTATTATCGTAAATAATACACGAGCGTCATCAAATTTATAATTTAAAAAAAAAAACATTAGGAAATAATATCAGAAAAAGCCAAAAAATAAGGGACATTTTATAAAACTTCTATTATTAAACATTATTTATGTTACACAATTTAATTTTTTTCATATTTTGTATTGAATTACTCACGTGCTATTTACATATGCGCGAATAAATTTCCAAAATATTTCTTCGGCGAAGGTGTGTTGCATCATGCGCAGTATAAAAGGTCCTACGATTTACATCAACATTATACAATAAATTAGATATATTGTATTATAAATATATATTTACTATAATGTGTGTGTGTGGTTACTTGTAAATATAGATTTAAAAAATAAAATTATATATTATATATATATATATATATATATATATATATATATATATACACAAGGTAATAATCGCTTTAGAGTAAAATGTTTTTTATTGCATCATCGTTTATCATTCTATTTTATAAGTAAAATTCTCGTTCATACTTACGAAGATAGCATAACTTTAAAGGACCATTAAATAATTCTCTCTATCTACATATGTGCATAATTCAAATAATTCCCTCTACCTACATATGTGCGACTATTACGGGACACTTTGTGTGTGTGTGTGTGTGTGTGTGCGTGCGTGTGTATCACTATCGGATCCTGGAAACAAGGGGGGGGGTTAAAATCTCCTTTCAAATAAAAAAAAATTTATTGTTGAGTTTTGAGTAAAATCTAAGCATGAAAAAAAATATTAATTAATTTTTTTCCTGAAAGTAATATTTAAATGTTAAGACTGAAAACTTTTATAGAAAATAAAACTTAATTTTGATTACAATATTATAATTTTATTGTTAGATGTACGATTTACAAACTCATGGGTACAATTTGTAAATCAGTATTGTAAATCGTACCAAATAAAATTTTAAAATAATTTTATTTACAATATGAAACAATGATAAATCTGTTCATGTGTATATCGTTGGCAAAGAAAAATAGTTTGAAATAAATAAAAAATATCATTTCTTTTATAATTTTATTGTAGTTTTAACATCTACCTCACGGAGTGCGATTTAGCATATATGTATATACTTTCCCCTTTATGTACATATTAAAAGGGTAAACTTCAACTTTTTAATAATATGAATAAATTTAATTCTACTAAAATTATTTGTTTTTGCAATTTATTAAAATTTGAACGTTTACAGAAACAAAAGATATACACGTTTTTAATTTTATAATTTTGCATAAAAATATAATTTTATGTAATTTTAAGTACATGTACTCACTTATAAAAAACCAGTCCGAAAACTATTATACCTTTGTAATGGAAATTTGGAATTGCAACATGAGTCACCTTCGAAATATTGTTCGACCGTTCCCAGTTATTGTTAAAGAACAACGTGATAGTTTCAGCTAATCTTTTGCAAATATCATGTCATATTCAGTATGAATTCTGCACCACATTGCAATATTTCGAGTTGAGTAATCAAAAAGGAATAAGTAATTAAACATAATTATTGTTGTGTGATCAGTCCTCATTACAGGTGTGGTATCGTAGTGTTACCTCCATAACATAAAGTCCTCATCTCTTTCCATATTTCGCAATGGCATATTTGACAAAGTTGTGCATTGATTACAATTTACATGCTATAGATATGTTAAAGGTTGCTTCTAACAATAAATCATGTAGATGTAAACATAACCAATTTCGAAAAAATGGCCGGGCGCCTATTATCTGAAAAAATTGTTCACCCTTGGATTTAAATTCCGCGATATTACACGATAATTTTGGGGCATTTAATACAGAAATAGTATATTAATTACAATGTCTTATGTAATTGCATATTGTGCTCTTTTTAATAAATATTTATTATGTATTTACGTAGTTTTTTCTTTCACGTCGAAAATAAAGTCTTCATCAGCAATACCATAATATTTTATATATAAAGTGTACCTTCCTGATAACAATTCATCCATAAGAAAATATCAATTGTGTTTTCTTTAATATATTCTGCAATATATGCTAGTTTATGAACTGTATCTTTATCTTTTTCATAATAACTTTCATAATTTGTAATTACAACTATATTTTCAATATGTAGTGGTTCTGAATATAAATACATATATGTGTTGCGTTTTGCTAAGAATATTTATGCTGATATTATGTTTCCCATAGAAAACTTTTTCTTCAATATTTGATACAAGCATGATATCGTAATGCCTTGGAATTACATATTTTGATTGTTGATAGCATAAAGCTTCATTACGAGTGGAAGCCGTCGTATCGATGAAAATTAATCCGCTACTTAGTAATAGTTTTAAAAATATCATCATGTCGAGAAAAGGAATATTTATTTTAGATCCGTAAAACACTCTGCTGACAAAAGATAAATAAAAAAATTAAATATATAAAATATATAAAATTAAATATATAAACAAGAAATAAATACAAAAAGTATTAAAACTATTAATTGAAAAACGATTCTAATTAGCGAAATATTATATGGCAAAGAAGCAATGGCAAATTCCAATTTGCATAATTTTTTTAAATGAAATTATATTGTATATGTATTTCAGTGTTGCACATGTTGTAATTGACGGCAATATAGAAATATTAAATTTACATGTTCTATATTTTCTTTAAATAATTAATCACATAAAAAAATTATATTCATTTAAAATTTATATAATATTATTTAGAATATAAAGATTTATAGTATATAAAGTTAGTTGTCTGAAGTAAATTACTTTTAAAACATAAGTGCTGTTATTTCCCCATACATGTATTCCTGTGTATATACATACATCCAAAATAAGAAGAAGACAGTAGAGATAATAAAAACTGAGGAGCAGCAGAGAAAGAGGAGGAGAGAGAGAGCGAGAGAGAGGAGAGAGAGAGAGAGAGAGAGAGAGAGAGAGAGAGAGAGAGAGATGATGAAGATGAAGCATTATTTATTATAAATTTGTATCAATTATAAATTTTTATAATAAATATTAGGTTACAACATTACAACAATAAATATCAAATAGAATTTACTGATATTAGAATTTTAATTTAAGGTTTAATTACAAAGATACATGATGGCAAATTTGAAAACATGCAAATAATGATAATCTCCTTTGGCATTTTCGCGGAGGAAAAATTGACTCCAAATGATCTGAAAAATCTATTATTAACCGGTTTATTACTAGAACATCCTGTATATAGTGGTGTGCTTTTAGATATTTTAGATTAAACACCACAAAATAGATGATGTGTAAACGACTGCTTCAAATCTAGAATATTATGGATTTCTACATTCGATTGACAATTAGTAGGTATGTTTTATCATTTTACTCTATAATTTTTAATTAATAAATAATTATTTAAATTTTAAGTATTAAAGCTATAATCTTTATCAGCGTTTATTTCATCAAATCTTTGTAATTGAGATAATATTTTTTTATATATTCTCACCATCAATATACATGTAACATTATTGTATTTGATTGTAATAGTAAATATTAAATTTTTATTCATTAAATTTAATTTACATATCTGAAAACGTTTCAGCTTTGATGGAGTATCTTATTAAATCTATATGAACAATTTAATATGCGTTTTCAATTTAATATTAACATACGTTTTGTACGTTTATATCAAATATTTTACGAAAAATTTTACGTGAATTATTTAGAATTCTGTCTATTTCTAACTTATATGATTAATATATACTACTTATTTTTAAGTATTATATTTATATTTTTCACTTAACAAAGTTAATTTGTTCAGACTTTTTATAATATATCGTCTTTATAAAGAGATATCTCAAATGAAAATTGAAAGTAATTGCCTTATTTTTTTCATTTTCTTAATACATAAATTATCTTTAACAACAAAATTAATATTTGATTCTTCTTTCTTGCTACAATTATTTTACTCAATATCTCACAATTTAAAAATTATTTTAAATATTAAAATACACACAGATATTTTTTATAAAAAATAAAAAAGACGACAAATTTTATATGTTATGTAAATTCTAGTATTTTTAAGTTTCAGAAATAATTTATTTGATATTAAACTTTTGTGGTCCAAGATTATTTCAACATTATAATTCGTAAAATATTATAATATTGATATTATTTGAAATTATGTTTGTATTAAAATTTAAAGATAATTTTGAAATAAAACTATTCTGTTTATGTTAAATATTGAAAATTCTTTAGAATTCCGTTAAACTGTATGATTAAATTCTTTTTTGTATTGTAGACAAATATGTTTTTATATTTTTCACTTATTTTGACTTACCCAATATTTCGAAACACAATGTTAATTGCAAAAGTATATTGATATACATTTTTTTAAATTTACGGCAACAAATTAATACTTTAGTTGTATGCAATATTGGAAGAATATATAAAATGTTCACACACACTTTATTATCGTTTATATCTACCACCATATGGTTCGAAAGACCACAAAAGACTGATTCGCTCTATTTCTACATATTATAAATAACTGTAATTGTACCTAATAGAAATTCGTCCAATTGAAATTATGTACATAATAGAAATTCGGCGAATTGAAATTATAACATAATAGAAATTGAAGAATACTTATGTATTGTATATAGTAGAAATTCGGTGAATCAAAGTTTTAAAAAATAATGTAAATTCAAGAATTAAACTTTTGTCCACAATAAAAATTTAAGAATAAAATTATGTACATAATAAAAATTCTGCGAATTAAAATTATGAAAAGATAAATTGAAGTATTAAAATTAAGTACATAATGGAAATTCGACGAATTAAAATTTTGTAAATGTAAATATAATAGAAATCTGCTGAATTTATACTTATATACATAATTTTAATTCGTCGAATTTATATTTTGTACATAAAATTAATTCTTTATTTTTATTATGTATATAATTTGTCCCGAAGACAATTTTTAAAAAATATCCCAACGCAATAGAAATTGTGGGCAAATTAAAATTACTTATACATATAATAAAAATTTGGTGAATTAAAATTATTTACATAAAAGAAATACGACAAATTGAAATTATGTACATAATAGAAATTCAGCAAATTGAAATTATTTATGTAATAGAAATTTGATGAATTAAAATTACGTTACATAATAGAAATTATAGAACAGTACATAATAGAACATAGCATAATTACAGTACTAATAGAAATTAAAGGTTCAATGAATTGAAATTATGTATATAATAAAAATTGCTGAATTTCTGTTATATATAAAAAAATTTTGCTATTATATATAATAGATATTTGCTGAATTTTTATTATATACATATGTATATATATGTATATATATATATTTAATGAAAATTCGTCGAATTTTTATTTTGTACGTAAAATTAATTCTTTATTTTTATTATGTATATAAATTAATTTGTCGAATTTCTATTGTGTAAATAATTTTAATTCGTTATATTTATATTATGTATAAATTAACTGGATTATTATATATACATAAATTTAATTCATCGAATTTCTATTACCCTTTCTAATTGACAAGAAACTGCAAAGTCGAAACCACTCAATCACAAAATTAATAAACAATTATTTATCAGATTTTAACTATTATACACCAAATCCTTTAATAATAATATACATTACTATCACTACACTAACCCTTCGATACATACAACTGTCAAAATATGCAATAACAGCCGCTCACAATATAACGCTGTGACAGAACCAATCGGCATCGCGGAAAAGAGGCAACAATACTTCGAGATTTTCGAGATAAACCGATACATTCGAGAATCGACTTAACATGCCTCTTTAAAGAAAGGATGTTCTTTGAGTCTAGTACGTAACTGTCTCTTTGTCTGTCCCACATATGACGCATTGCAATCATTGCAATTAATTTTATAAATCACATTTTATACAAATTGCAAAAGTAATTGTTTCTGTCTTTTTGTACCCTAACTAATCTGTTTAGTTTATTCAAACATCTGTATCCCATGTCCCATAGTCACTTCTTTAATCGCTGACGCAATTTGATCTGACATCGTATTTATGTAGGGAATAACAAAAAATGTGTTGTCGCTCTTTTCACTATTTATTCGCTGTTTTTTGGAATTTATATCCTTATATTTAATTTTTTAGAAATAAGATTTTTGATCCTGCTGTTGGTTCCAACTTTTATGACAAATTAGGTGATTTGAGAAGTATGATAAGAATCTTCCCGAAAAAGTTTTTTTTTGTGGAACCAATTTAAGTGTAATGTATTGTCTATTACTGTTAAGTTAAGATCTAAAAGCTAAGCAATGGTCAACCTCATATTCAACCGTGGGTGGGTGGGTATGTGAGTGTGTGTGGGTATGTGGATGCGTGTGCGTGAACGCGTGTGTGTAAACATATAATTTTATTAATTAAAGTAAAAAATTAATAACATGTTCAATGCAGCGCGAGAGAGAACGAACGCGAAAAATACGCGGGAAAGGTTGGCACGACACGAAGTAAAAAGAGTCGTATGGGCATATAAAAAAAGAGTTTATTCAAATTAACACTACCAAAATTAAAAAAGAAAGAAAGGAAGTAAACAGAATAAACGCAGTCTTTTGCGAAGCGGTAGTGTCACGCGACTCGAAGCAAGCGACTTCGATTTTTCGCCGTACGAAGCGAGCGACTTCGAAAAGGTCCTTTCAATAACTTTGTGAATCCTGCCAGCGATAAACTCGCATGCAGTGTTTTGCATCTTTGAGAAACAGAAAACGATCTAAATGATCGACTCGAGACTTCACATTTTTAAACGTTTTTCGAATTTTTCGCCGCACTTGCGCACGATGTTTTTCTCAATGTTTCGCGCCGGGAAAAAACGCGCGTTAGTAGCTGATCGAGAGATAAAAAAAAAGAGGTCGTTGTCCCGGGTCCTGTCTTCGCGAGTGTTTATACTCGGTTTAACACAGGTTTGTCGCAACTCGCTTCGATACATCATATTTGCCCGGTTTACAAAAGATTTATGACTTTTATTTCTCGTCCCCGCAAGGAACATGTATTTTTAAACACAATGAAGTCGGCGCGAGCAAACACAAATGAAAATAAAGACGTCAACGACAGATGAAATTCAACGGTCCCTTTCGGACAGATAATCTCGGAGAATAATTATATGATTGCAGATTATCGCGCGGAACTTACAAGATCGAGCTCGAACACAATATATATTTAAAAAAATAAATAGATAATGCATAATATTAATTAAGGTGCATTGATCATTTAACAAGCATATATTTATATATTTATATTATTTACATTTATACATTTATATTATTATACTTTACAGTAAAATATATTTATATATTATCTATTTAGGCTATTTTCTTGTGACTATATATACAGAATAATATATAATTCAACTACTTCAAGCAAGTTTGCAAAATATGAAAAACTTTAGGCACGCAGTCATAAAGTTTAGTAAATACAGAGGTATCAAATAGTAATGCATCTATGTAAACAATAATTAAAGCAATAAAAGAAATAGTACATACAATATAAAAAATTATTCATATGAAGTACATTCACGTCTGCAAAGCTGCAATTCTTTAATTCCACCCAACAAAAAAAATATTTTCAGAATATTGTATCTGTCTTTTGATTTGATCGTTGCGAATTGATATCTTGCTTTCAATTTTGTCAGAAATCAACATTTTGGAATCCTAATATATATAAATAAAGATTTGCACAATAAAATCAATATACTGTTTATATAATAAATAAAACAGACATAAAATTAATATTCAGAGTTTAATAAAAGAGATAGAACAATATTTCTTTTTCTCTCGCTTTCAATAATATTTATTAAATTTACCTTTTCTTCCATTATAGAAAATTCTATATTGTCCTTCATACATTCAAAGTAATTGTTTATTTTCTAAAATGTATTATTTTTTAACATTATTAATAAACAACGTTATTATAACATTATCAAAATTATTTAAACATTAAATAATAATTATTAATATTGCATTATTATCACGTTTTGTATACATATATAAACATGAAAAATTTTTACCTTATTTAGATTAAAGGAATGTATATTATTAATAATAATAATTAATACTGCAGCATATATAATATTATCTCTAAAAGCGATAAAACAGATGTATATATAATACACATAAGAAATTTGTATAAGGTAATTATAAAAATATGTCACATTACTTTGATTTCATTTGGCAAAAATCATTTAATATGTATTGCAGTATAGTTTGATTCTTCGCATGCTTCGTAATAACATGTAAAGACATGTCAAAATGATATTGATATTGCTCTGTAAAATTGTACTGGTTATAGTATATTGGATTAGACTGGTTATAGTATACTAAATTCTTTTCGATGACATCAATATCTTCAGGACAAGCCAAGTATTCTGAAAATTTAGTGTCAGATTTATCCAATCCTATATCATGCACTAATTTCCAAGTGGTATCTTCTTTGGTAGTTATCATCAAACCTTTACAATATGTCCATTCCTTCCACCATGGCAAAAGTCTAAAATATAAAAAAAATTAATTTTCTTATTAAAATTTAGCATATGGACCTCTTGATCAAATTATTTAAACATTATAGGCGATACCTACAAAAATGATTAAGAAAGACTAAAGATATATAACAATATTTACTTGTGCTTTGTAGAATTTTGTAGATGTTGTACTAATTTATTGTTGGCTTCTGTCTTACATTCGGAGTCGCCGAGAAAACATGCCCATCTTGCAGCTTCTTGTCGTAAACATTTTCTAAGGTCGTCACTATCATCAATTTCTTCATATTTGATTCTTTTAAGAACCTCGTTTAATGCATGGTTTATGTAATTCTAAAAATCGTAAAATATATATTTCTTTATTCATATTATAAATGTATTTAAAAATTATTAAAATCTCAAAAGATTAAAATAAAGGCGCTAATAAAATTATATAAATGATTTATTAAAGTTGATCGAACTGGTCAATACAAATCGTATCACGCATAACGTTTTGGCACTTAGATACGAGCCTTTATCAAGTGGTGCTTTCAAGATGTTAAAGTGAAAGACATGATATTGAGTAATATACTTGATAAGGGCTCGTATCCAAGGGTCGAAACGTTGTGTGTAATACGATTCGTATTGCCCAGTCAGATTAAACTTTAATAAATTATTTATAAAAATTTTTATATTTTTCTATTATTTACCAATATATTCTTAAAATATTCTCTTTCTTTAGACAAACATACATACAAATTTACTAATAGACGCGAGCGTTTATTTATGCACGTACATACGTTCAAATATACATACATATATGGAAAAATATGCTTTAATTTATGCGAAATATTTATAATATTTAAAGATATAATTAAAGCATATTTGTTTGCGACGTATAATAATATGTAAAATTTTATCGTTGCGGTATTTTTTTTGAATATTTAAATTTTTGTAACTAATAAGTGTATATATATATATATATGCAAATATCTGAAATATATCACTTTTATTAATATTTATTAATGTTTACCTTAAAATTCCACAATTTATCTTCCAGCATAGCTACAGAAAAAGTGCTAAATATGTATTCCAGAGCTTTAAACATAGAATACCATGCTATATAATCTTCTTCTCGATGCAAATACGATATTATATCTGCGAATACAAGGAATTTGAGTTCTCCTGCTATCATTAAATGAAATGCATCATCGATAATTTGGGCACGATTAAGAACATGAATTTTCGTGTAATTATCTGATTTTAAATAACTTGAAATTCTTCGCCAATTCTCATCATCATAGTTAACGCGATAATATCCTGTCGAATAGTAAATAAATTTTATCAATTTTTATTGTTTTGAATAATTTTATCAGAATATATTTTCAAATATTTTTGTTTCATAATTTTATTTATATAAATTATAAATGAAAAACGTACCATAAATTTAATATAAATAAAATGATAATATATATAGAAAATAAATTATAAAAATGTCATTTTAATACTTCAAATAGAGGAAAAAATGAAACTGTGCAAGATATTGTTGCATATCATAAAATAAAATTAATTTTAGAAATATAATTATCCTTTTAATAATTTTTCTTATTATTAGAACAAAATATATTTGTAAAAATATAACATTAATATTGAATGATATTATTTATAGAAAACATCTACGTACATTTTATATATAATATTATGGACATAATAATGCAGAATACGACAAAAAGCATTTTATAACTATTACAGTCATTTAATGAATATTTCAGATTTTTATAGGACAATGAATAAAATAGATAAAAATATAAAACAATATCAATTATGTGTGTGTAAAATAAAAACGAGTAATATGTCATAATAAGTCCATTGGTCGATATTTACCAATTTGTTGTATATTGAATATAATCCAACCATCCTCTTTAAATGGTAATGATAATTTTAAATCCTTTGACACGCATACCATATGATGAGTAAAATTGTTAAAATCGAGAGACGCTTCCGTAGTAAAAGTTACAGGAATGCAGCCAATTTTAATGTGTCGATATTTTGTATCGATACATTTACTTCGCTCATTATCTCTCTATCATGATAATTTCGTACTGCTTTAATCACGGGACAATGATTTTCCAAAGCCCAATCTTCCATTTTTGTTAGTTGTTGAGTAATATTTGGATTTTTTAAAGCAATATGTTTCGTAAGCTCCACAAAGCCTTCATCATGCGATTCGCTAAATTCACGCAGTATGAAAAATATATAAAAAACCTTACAAATATGTTAAAATTGTCTGTAAAATATTAATATTATAAAAAACTTTAACAAATATTAAGAAGCAAATTATAAAATTGCACTGTTATATATATATTTATATATCTTATATTTATGTTCTAATAATAAATAATATAACACAATTTTAAATGAAATTTAATAATTTTATTTAATTTTTTAGGTATTTTTAGCATTAATACGAATTATATTTGAGCAAAGTATTGAAAGAGTATATAATGATTAAAAGAAGAAACCAAATTTTAAAAAATAACCAAAAGAACAACAAAAAAATAACAAGTTGAAAACAAAAAAAAATAAGAAAAATAATGTAAAGGCTCGATTTACGAGAGAAGGAAATAAAAATAGAAAAAGTAATAAAAAAGAGATATAAATGTTACATATTTAAAAACCTGTTAAATAAGATTAGAAAATAAATGTATCACAAAATCCAATTAAAAAAAAAAGATATAAGAATTATAGACAATATAATGAAATATAGAAGATAATAAAAAGAATAAAAATTATTTCAAAATTTACTTTAAAAAAAAACAAATCATGAAACAAAAATAAAAGAACAATGAATATGTATATATGATAAAGTAATAATGGAAAACAACAATTACTTTCTCCAGAAACGTTATTTTTTAAAATTTGGTTTCTTCTTTTAATCATATATACTCTTTCAATACTTTGCTCAAATATAATTCGTATTAATGCCAAAAATACCTAAAAAATTAAATAAAATTATTAAATTTCATTTAAAATTGTGTTATATTATTTTCATAGGAAGAGAAATGAAATTAAAATAACTTTAGTAGAAGATTTGGAAAAATAGCGGAATTGTAACACTAAGAAAAAAACATTATGAAATAATGTCAGAAAAAACGAAAGAAAATAAGGGACATTATATAAAATTTCTATTATTATTACATTTATGTTGTGTACAATTTTATCTTTTTGATATTATATTCTATATTGTATTACTCACGTATCATATGCATATGTGCTTATGCTTTCCTGAAACATTTCTTCTGTGAGGATGTGTTGCATCATCCGTAGTATAAAGGGTGCTACAATTTACATCAAAATTATGAAAATTAAATATATTACAAATATATATTTATTTTGATGGTTACTTGAAAACATAACAATTTTATAAAGGAAAATTATATTGTATATATGTATACAGGGTAGTAATCGCGTAAGAGTGAAATGTTTTTTACTGCCGCACCGTTCATTATTTATTTATAGCAAATTTTTGAAGAACTATTTAATTAATTTCCTGTACCTACATATGTGCGGCTATTACCGGACACTGAGTGTGTGCGCGTATGTGTGTGCGTGTGCGTGCGTGCATGTGTGCGTGCGTACGTTTGTGCGAGAGCGTGTGCGTGTGCGTGAGCGTGTGCGTGCGTGCGCGCGCGCGCGTGTGTGTGTAAACGCGTGCCCGCGTATGTGTATGTACTTTTATAAAATAATATTTAATTAAAATCCAGATAAACAATTAATTATCTTCCAACTTAACACATATTTTATAATATTAATAGTTAAAAACTATTTTATTATATTATGTGATATTTCTATTATATATTATGTCATACCGCGGATTATTTTATTATATTATGTTATACCTCTGATAGATTGGCGAATTTTCAATAAACTGTCATCTTGTGAAGTAGAAGGCCACATATGATTACCATCCAAATTAAAAGAGTAATGTTGATTTTGAACAACAAATAAATTCAATATTCGATAATCTGGATAAGCCTATAGAAAAAAATAATTAATTTATCGATATAACCGTTTTGAAAATACTTGTATCTTGTATTAAATTCAAATACTAATATTATTAACGTTACTTCATAATTAAAACGAAACACATTCTCATTAAAAAATATAATAATAAAATCTAAAATTTTGTATTAATATAATTAGCAAATATTACCTATTTTTTAATTATATAGTTTCATGATATTATATTGCAGACTTCTTTTTATCAAATTTTTTAAATAAATCTCATGTGTACTAGTCTGATTAATTTATTTTATTTTAAATTTCATAAAGAATTAAAAATATCTAATAAAGTGTTTAAAAAATAAAAATTTTGCAATAAGAATACTTAAGTATTGTATCGTTTGCGAGAAGGTGGAGCGAGATTGCGTTGATAATATTTAGAATAACCTTATTGACAGTATACGTTGCAAGCAATGTAGTAAGACCTTTTTTAAGCCAAAAATCCGATAGTAATGGATTGTTCATCATGTTATTAAACCATTGCTGTGTCACTTTACGTCCTACTAATTGAGCTACTTCGATTTTCTGAGCAATAGGATATAAATTTTATCGTAGATGATATCTGTTTCCCTGAAAGTTATATTTAATGTTAAGATTGAGAACTTTTATAGAAAATACAACTTTATTTTTGTTACAATATTTTAATATAATTGTTAGATGTACGATCTACAAACTCATGGGTACAATTTAGCAAATCAGTATTGTAAATCGTACCAAATAATATTTTTTATATTTCTAATTTACAATATGAAACAACGATAAATTTCTATTTATGTGTATCGTTTGACAAAGAACAATAGTTTGAAATAAATAAAAAAATGTCATTTCTTTTATAGCTTTATTGCAGTTTTAACATCTTCCTTAAGGGGTACGATTTTGCATACTTACTTTACCCTTTATATGTATACTTATTAAAATAGTAAACTTTAACTTGTAATAATATGAATAAACTTAATTCTACTAAAATTAATTGTTTTTGCAATTCCTTATACTTTTGAACGTTTACAGAAACAAAAAATACATGTTTTTAAATTTTATAATTTTGCATATAAATATAATTTTATTTTTAATGTAATTTAAAGCACCTGTTCTCACCTATAAAGAACAAGTCCGAAAACTATTATGCCTTTGTCATGGAAATTTGGAATTGCGACATAATCCACCTTCGATTCCAATATGGAGAAAGCTCTCCAATCATATTCAAGAAACCTCGTGATACGTATAGTTACATTTTTTGCAAATTCTATGTGAAATCGAGATTCGTTTCTGCACCACATGTTAATGATTTCAATTTTGGTCTTAAGTGGGAATAGGTAATTAGACACAATCATTGTTGCAAGATAAGGCAACATTACAGGTGTGGTATGGAAGTGTCTCCATAACAAATTATCCGCATGTTCTTCCGTATTTCGCATAGCATATTTGACAAAGCCGTGCATTGCTTACATTCTACAGAAATGTTAAAGGTTGCTCTAACAATAAATTTTGTTGATTCCGACATGGAAACGATTGTTGAGCGCTTATTATCTGGAAATGCGGAGTAGCTATCCAACTACATTTCAAAGAACATAAATTAATAAAACTTTTTTTGACAAACATTAAGATATTGAGAATTAAAAACTGTATATATGTTATATGCGTCAATGCAAATTATTTTATGACTTTGTTATATATTATTATAATAATAAATATAAAGATTGTTTGCCTTTAGATTTAAATTCTGCGATATATAATAATTTTTGGGACATTTAATACATAAATAGTATATTAATTACAATTCTTATGTAATTGCATATTGTACTCTTTTTATTAATATATTGTACTCTTATATATTAATTGACATTAGTTATTTACTTACGCAGTTTTTTTTACGTCGAATATTATGGATTCTTGATCAACAGTTGTTTTAATGTCGAATATTCTGAAGCCTTTATTAGCAAGTACCCAACTATTTTATATTTAATATATAATTCCTGGTGATAACTCATCCATAAAGGAAATATCAAATGTGTCTTTTTTAATATTATATGTCGATTTATAAATAGTAAT